CTTGCGGAGTAATGCGTAGTGTACCTCAATTGTCCAGAGGAATATTTGAGGTCCTATAAAGCATAAACTCGGCCCGTGGGCGCCCCACGGAAGCAGCAGCGCCGGGTGTGCTCTTGACGCTCCCGCGGAGCTTGGTCTCAAGTCCGTCCCGGGTTATTCCCGAAAAAGTGTTCTTGCACACGCATTGAAAATAAAACATGCCTGCGTACAGGACGTACTTGGAAGTACTTAGGACGTGATTAATCGGAAATGTGACTATTAGCTATCTCTTTTTAAAATAAGGAAATGAATCCCTCGGTGTGTGAGAGAAATAAACTCATGTCCCAGACACTCCCACTGTACGTTTTCATCTTTTTAAACAAAAATGAACATTACATGATAGTATTTGAGACGTGTTCCTATAAGAAATCAGAGATGCTGCTTCATAAGGTTGAAGAACCAGTATTTTGGAATGGTCCCTGTTTCTCCAGCGGTGGTGTTTAAATGGGTCTATACATGTGTTAATACAACTATACAACCTTGCCCCCCCACCCCCCATGAGGTCAAATTTACCGTGATAATTTTTTCCTTTTTAATTAAATATTTATTGTTGAAAGTAAAAGAAAAAAAAAAGGAAACATTATCGCCCTACCTGGTTTGGCTCGGTGGGTAGAGCTCCAGCCTGCGGACTGAAGGTCCCCGGTTCGATTCCAGTCAAGGACACACGCCCGGGTTGTGGGCCAGATCCCCAATGGGGGGCGTGCAGGAGGCAGCCGATCAGTGATTCTCTCTCATCATTGATGTTTCTATCTCTCTCTCCCTCTCCCTTCCTCTCTAGAATCAATAAAAATATTTTTTTAAAAAAGAAGCCTTGCCGAAACCGGTTTGGCTCAGTTGGATAGAGCGTTGGCCTGCGGACTGAAAGGTCCCAGGTTCGATTCCGGTCAAGGGCATGTACCTGGGTTGCGGGCACATCCCCAGTAGGGGGTGTGCAGGAGGCAGCTGATTGATGTTTCTCTCCCATCGATGTTTCTAACTCTCTATCCCTCTCCCTTCCTCTCTGTAAAAAAAAATCAATAAAATATATTTTTTTTAAAAAAGGAAGCCTTATCAAAAAAGTGATGTGACTTTTATTGTGATTTTATTATAATAATATTATTTTAAATTAAAATATCAGATCCCAGGACAAGAGCACTAAAGAAAATGAATAAAGCCTTGAAGAAAACAAGATCCAGATGAAAGCAACTGACCATACTTAAATGTTTCTCCCAAGAAACTAGGATATGTTTACAAGCTAATATTTTACCTTAAATGTCAAAATTTAAGAATAATAAATATTGAAAATGACTATGTGCCAGGCGCAGTGAGTAAGTCACAGACTTCGTCTTCAATGAACTATAAAAGTCTAGGGCAGTGGTTCTCAACCTGTGGGTCGGGACCCCTTTGGGGGTCGAATGACCCTTTCACAGGGGTCGCCTAAGACCATCAGAAAACACATATATAATTACATATTGTTTTTGTGAATAATCACTATGCTTTAATTATGTTCAATTTGTAACAATGAAAATACATCCTGCATATCAGATATTTACATTATGATTCATAACAGTAGCAAAATTGCAGTTATGAAGTAGCAATGAAAATAATTGTATGGTTGGGGGTCACCACAACATGAGGAACTGTATTAAAGGGACACGGCATTAGGAAGGTTGAGAACCACTGGTCTAGGGGAAGGCCAGAAGGCAATACACTGCCTGTGTCTACCTCTATCTATGGTGGTACTTACCCCATAATATTGTCAGGTACAGTGGGAACGTCAAGGAGGTGATGGCATCTCAGAAGACTTCCAAAATGATGTGTGAACTAGATCTTAGATGTTGAATTGGAGCTGGCCAGACCTTAGGAAAACCATGTAGAAAGGCATAGCGTTGTGAAGAGCGCTCCTCTTGGGTGAGCAGAGGGAACAGACTGCCTGTTGACCCCACTTCCTTGAAGGATCTTCGATAGACACACCATCACTGGGACCCATCCACAAGATCAAAAAGGAAAAAAAAAAAAAGAATTGAATCTTGCAGTATAGAATGACCATATTTGTATCTAAGATTTTAAAGGAAATCTTGTCAAACGCCTTCCAGAAATTCACATGTTTCAACTATGGTATCCCAATAATAACATTTGGGGAAGTTGGTGAAGGATACATATACAGAAAATCTTTTCATTTTTTTGGCAAGTTTTTAATATCTCAAAATTTATTTTAAAATTAAAAAAAACAGTAAGTTTAGCTTGAGATGTCTAATTCTTATTAATGCTTCTATAAATCACTCTTTTCTAAAAATTCAAAATGATGTATTTAAAAATAAATTCTAGAATTTGGACAATTTTTTATAAGATTCACAAGATCCACCATATATTCCTTGACAGTGAAGACAAAAACCAAATAACAGTTGTAAAAGTTGTATGCTTTATGTTCCTAGTTAATTGTTTTTGCTCCAAAGTTAAAAACCCTTCTATAATTTGCTATAACTCTTTGTAAACATCTGTACCCCTTGTCTTAAGGAAAATTATTCTCTCCAATAAGTAAAAATATTGTTAATCTTTATTAGCATACTTGGGTGTATATTAATTACCTTATAAGCTTATTTAGAAGAAAAGTAGGATCTGATTTACAAAAATGTATTCAACAGAAAACTTTCAAGAACCTAACTTCTGTAAAGAATTATATCTTCCTTTTCTTTTTTCTTTTAAGAGTGATATCTTAGTACATATTTCAAAGTGTGTATTAGTGGAAAAAACCTATATAATGATTGGATAAATTTGAAGTTTTCCCTTCTGGATATATGCTATCAAGGAATTATTGATAATTGTTTTTATCTATGATAATTGTATAATGGTTTTATTTTCTGAAAAAGAGTCTTCATCACTTAGAGTAGTATTCTAAATTACCATATTTACAGATGAAATTATATGACAACTAGAATTTGCTTCAAAATAATTTGAGGGAATAATGGGTATAGTATAGATGAAATACAATTGGCCATGATTGAATCTGGGTCATAGGAACATGGCAGTTCATTATACTAGTATCTATATTTTTGTGTGTGTTTAAATGTCCCATAAAAATGTTTTTTTAAAAATATATGGGAGATCTGGGAGAATATAGGAAGCAATAGGAAGACATACTATTTTTTGAGGCAATCTAATAGAAATGTTTCTTAATTTTAAATTATGGAATAATTTAACCTAATATCTATGCAAAGAGAGATTGCTATAATTATTTGAGCTTTTTAAAAATATATATATTTCTATTTCAGAGAGGAAGGGAGAGGGAGAGAGAGATAGAAACATCAATGATGAGAGAGAATCATGGATCGGCTGCCTCCTGCACGCCCCCTACTGGGGATGGAACCCACAATCTGGGTATGTGCCCTTACCCAGAATCGAATCTGGGACCCTTAAGTCTGCAGGCCGATGCTGTATCCACTGAGCCAAACCGGCTAGGGCTATTTGAGCTTTTTAAAACTCAGAATCGTTTGAGTGTGTCCCTATATTTTTTGTTATATAATAAAGAGGTAATATTCTAGGGGAAAATGAAAAGAAAGGATATCTTTAACCTACAAACACTTATACAGAGCTTACCATGTGCAGGTAGCCTTTTAAGTGCTTCACAATTACAATTCATTTAATCCTCCTAACAAACCTACAAGGAAGATAATGTTATTATCTCCTACTTACAGATGGGGAAATCAAAGCCTATAGAGATTAAATGACCTGAACAAGGTCACACAGCTGTTAAACAATAGAGTGGGCTTTGAATCCAGAAAGTCTTACTGCAGAAGCTCCTGATGATAAGAAATATGACTTGAAGAATCAAGCCTATAGAAATGATAGTGTTAGGGCAGAAAAATGAATACACTAGAATGTGTATTGCATAATTTTGTATTTATTAAATATTGGAAACAGCCTACATGTCCCATCAATAGCAAAATAAACAAATCCGTACAGAATCTAATTTGGGCAGATGTTAAAAAGAAGACTGACTTAGAAAAAGTATAAATTTTTTAAAAAATTATTATTCATTGATTTGAGAGAGAAAGAGAGAGAACCATCAATTTGTTGTTCCACTTATTTATTCATTCATTGG